AATAATAATAAAATAAATAATAAGATACAATATCGGAATAATAACTAATAAAATAATAAACTGTTCTATAACAGTACTTTATAAAGTGCTAGGTATTTGCACTAAAGCAGTACATTCGAAGCAAGATGCTTAATAGCTGTGCATTCAAAAAATTTTTCACTTGTTGAATAACTGGTGGTTATATAATAAAACAAAATAAAATTGAATTAATGAACAAAAAAGGCAAAAAAGCTCTTAACTTGGAATTATAAATACATTTATGACTAAAAAGAAAATAAAATAGTAAATTGATCAGCACAAATGGTGCATTAATTACTTCATTTGCATGCAATAATAGAGAACTACTATTTATATCATTATATTCATTCTACTAACTAAAAGCAGTAATTAATCAAATATTTTTGATTCTATATTATTTAACAAAAAAATATTATTTCCATTAATTAAATCTAGGAGAATAAAAATTAAATATTACTCTAAATTAATTTGAAATTTGCTTTCAATTGACACGTTTCTTCATAGCTATTTTTTTTGTTATATAGAAATCGCCGTCTCTGAAATCTCTGAGGACTAATGAAACTACCTTAATCAAAATATTTAAAATAGTAAAACGTTTGTTTACTATGATTCTGAGCATTCAAATTACTTTATTATATCACATATAAAGCAAACAATTATCTGTTAAATTACATAACATGATTAGTTAGAATGATTTTTAATTAAAATCCTTTAATACTTCAGTTATTCCTTTTTATCACTGAGCCAAAGGCTAATGAAAATATCCTACTTCATAAAATATGCATAAGCAGAGAATAATAAAAAACTTCTCTTTATTTCTTTGAATTTCTATGGATTGTAATAATTGATTATTCGTAAAATATGTAAAAAAAACTTAATAAATAAAGAAAACAATCTTTTAATTAAAAATAGAGAGTAATGGCAAAATTAAATAAATTAAAATATTACTAATTATCATAATAATGAATATGTAAAATAAAGAAAGTATAATTAATTAATAAATAAAATATCAGATAAAATAAAAATAAATTTCATTCTTATAAAGAAAAAAAAGAATAAAAATACCTTAGTTCAACATCCATCACAATTCGAAACAATTTCAAAATAAAAACAAAATAAAATAACAAAAAAAAATAAAATATTCTTCCCTAACCAAAAAAAAACCGACACATTAAAAATTAAAAAAAAGGTTTGTTCAAAAAATAATAAAACTATACTAAAACCAAAAAAAAAATGATATCCATCTTCTGCGCTATCTCCTTCATCAAAACTTTATCAGGAATGAATAAAGTTTGCAGTGAATCCGCTGTTTATAGAATCGGAACAAATGAATTTGTTGAGTACAAATTCAAAGTATTTTGATTTAGCGAAATGACTCTTGTCGAAGAATTAATAAGACACAGCATATCGTTAATAGTCAGACAATTTACCTTTAATAATAAGGATCTAAATGTAATAAATAAAAAAATTAATTTGTATAAATAATATTCACACTAAACATTTAACTGAAATAATAAATAAATCACCCAAACTTCCCTACAGTTTAGCCTCTCTATAGTCACTCCTCTAAATACAAAGAACTTTGTTCTCATGAAAAATATCTAAATAGAGGTTAATTCTCTCAAAACATGACTATAAAGAGAAATAGACAATTAAAAAATTAATATATGAATCTAAATATCTAATTTTTTTTCCTTTAATTTTTTCTTTTTTCTTATTCTTAAATAATCTTAGATTATAATTGAACAAAATACTCCTCTCAATATTCAAATGATAGAAGACTTCTCAATCACATTTGACCTCACCATATTGCCAGCTTTTGGCATTTTTACGGCTACTGTACAAGATTCCAGTACTACAGATTGCGAAATGCTCTTTTTTTGCCTCAAAAGAGATGCCTAAGAGGCATAATGCCATTCCAAGTTACTATATCTATTTTGTGTAAATATGATCCAAAAGGTTAACACATGAATATTGCAGACATTACAAAGCATCAGCCAATAATTTCAGTTGCAGAAGAGTTAGTAATACAAAAAAAATCAGTTTGCATAGCTGCTGAGGTTATTGAGTTGAGTTATCCCAGCTAGAGGTCCTCTAAATCTGGCATGGAGGCTCCAACATCGAAACACAGAAGAACCAGAAACGAGAAATTAGAAAAGTTATCAGAAAAACTAGATCCAACTAACAAGTCAACAAGAAAAGGCAAACAACCCTACAGTAAAAATGCTCAAGAAGAAAGCTCCTCAAGAGCAAAAAGATTAAGAACTATGCAAATATTATTAATAAAGGTAATAAAATAAATTAATCTAAATATGGTAAAAAACATACTCAGGATAATGCTTAAATTGTCAATTATATAAATTATCATTACTATTAAGTAATATATTTATTATTATTTACTTTCACAATTATTTAATAATATATTATTATCTAATTAGTAAAGTATCAATAGTAATAATCACATCATTATCCCTTTAGATTTTTACCCTACTAAAACAATTAGCAATCATTTTAATATTATAAAGAGTTAAAACAATAAACCATATATGCAAAAATAAAAAAATTTTTACTATAATGCTTACATTTTTGACAATTAAGTACAACTAAGTAAAAACTTATCAGTATTGCAATACTCACATAATTTTTCTTAGTGGCACTCAATTGGTTATACTTATACTAACCAACACATTAAATAACCCAGAATATGAAACTGCAAATGCCAATACTCACCTAAGACCCGAAGTTGCAAAGACCAATATCAACTTGAAACCCGAAAATATAGAAACTGTACTAATCCAGAACTTGAAAATGCAGAAGTCAACACTCAAATAATGACACTAATTAATCATTAAACAAAAGCCAAGATGACTAAAAGGTTTATAAAGAAATTCCTAGTGATCAAGAAGATGATAAGGTATCTAATAGCATGCACTCACCCTAAATCTATATAAATAGATTTAATACAATAGACGATTGTTAATACAAAACTTTTTATTAATTTATTTTTTTTTTTATTTCTCATTATTTTTTTCCTAATTTTTAACCCTTGATTATTTTCTCCTTTGCTAATTGATTTAATGTAATTTTTTCTTATAATATTATCAATAAAACATAATAAAAATATTATCACTAACTTCTTAGACTACATTTAAAAAAAATATATATAAATAAAAAGGATTTGATAAAATATCAAAAAGAAATAAATAAAAAATAACAACTTAAAATAAAAAAAAATTATACTAGTATACAAATGCGTTGCCCTAATATACAAGCCTTTGATTATAAAAAAAAACTCAAATTATATTATTTATCAATATTCTATTCACAAATACGAAAGAAATTTTCATCAAACTCAATTAAAACAGATCATAACGAACAAAATACCACTATATTCCAATCTTATATTTATCATAATAAAATAAATTAGTTTAGCATAACTGATTCTACACCAACATTACAACTTAGCCTGCCTACAATCTCACCTGTAATATTCCTACTGTGAACCCCATCTTCTATGTTAAAAAAACTTCTATGCGAATTCGAAACAAAAATATTTCAAGATCATCCCCACATTCTATACTGCTACGGTTCAATTTTAATGTACCTTCTGCTATCCAATAGATAACATATGTCCCAAATGAAGATTACACTCTAACTATAGCATTTCTCAACATTCCTATTAAGCTATGTCACTTTACCAACAAACCACCAAAGTAGCCATCTGCAATAGCTGTAAAAAATTAAAAACTAGAAAGTTTTCACCAATTTTACTCAATAAACCTAATACAATAAGTCTAGTACCAATGTATCACAGAAAATATCTTTCCTCAATTCATATAACATGTTCTTTAGGTTGCACTTTAGGATCAAATGCATATACAATATATTAATTTCTACTAGGTGATTTTTTTTTAAGTAAAAATAGTCATTTTCTCAACCTTTACTCTAAGATGATTGGTGCTATTTTGAGCACTAATGAACTATCACGATAGTATCATGATACTTTTCCAACTGCAAGCACTTGGTTAAAAAGAAACTTCATCAATACGTAAATATACTCAACGTTAACTCACCTTCACTATCAGATCCATTACCTGTCTCACTACCATTAGCAAGCTAATCGCAGAGAAACTCTAACAACACCATGATAAGAAACATACCACATATTCTGGACATTGTAATCTCTAATAACATGATTCCTTCTGAAGTATATGATGAAGACCAAAGATATAAAAGACTCATAGCTGGATTCATGAAATTAGATGACTTAACTTTACCTATATCTTATAGTGATCCTGACTTGAAAGGATGATTTTCACTGATTTATTTCCAACTGGAAAAGGTCACTATAAAAATGTTAGAGAACAATTAGACTTTCAATCAAACAATAAGAGCTACGAAAAATATGTTAAACTAAGAATGCTCTGCCTCGACTTAAGAATCAGATTGCACTGGTATTGGCCATACTGGTCCTACTTAAATCTCGAAAAAAGCATAATTTTTAGTATTGTTGTAGGTTATTGAAACAAAAAAATATATCACAGAAACATTACCTAACAAAAGCAGACCTTATAGATATAACTTTAAGTATATTTTCTTTATCACGAATCCCAAAAACAAGGTCATATAAAAAATTAAAGATAAAAAAATATTAATACAATATTACAAAAATATACTGTATTTTAAATCCAAACTAATACAAGTTAAAAAATCAACTAACCTACTAAAATTTTTACTAATATAACATTTTACGATTTTGTTTAAAGGTAAAAGTGTATATACCTATAATTGATAAATTCAAAACTACCTCAATTTGTTCAAGCCTAAGAACCACAGCCTCTTATTTCAAAAAAAAAGAACTTCAAGTGAATACGATGCTTTGCTCATATGGATTACCATAAAATTTCTATACTATGACAATGGCAGAAGATAAATGGACTCACCTTAAAGATATATTTTTATCATCGACAACAAGAATGCCTTACCAACTAACTGACCATTACATGTATACATTTTTTATTATCACAAACTCACCAACATATGGAACAAATTATAGAAAAATATTAAACTAACTCAGAGGGGCAAATTCGAAAATTATTTTGAGCGAGATGAATTCTAAAATGAAGACAGTATATATACTTACAGATTTGCATATATCAGCATAAAAATCCTGGAACTTATTGAAAAAAACACAATAAGAGCTGATTTGTCAGATCAAACCCAGGAATCTGAATTATATAACTTAGTTATAACTTATCAAGTTTATAGGTTAATATCATATTTTGCTTGTAAAAAAAAACTTTCTATTATTATCAAGCATCAAATAATTTTTTATAACTTAATATATATATTTAATTTATTAGTCCTTTACAATCAATATAACATTTAATCAAATCTATTACACACTATAATTTTACTAAATTAACTCATCTAAACAATCTAATATAAATATAGATATTACTCAAACAAGTGTGGTGGTCCTACTTCAGGTGAACTTTGTAGAAAAGGTTTTCCCCAATCCTTATTGGACACAACACATAAAGATAACTGATCACTCAAGTACATATCTAGAAGAACTAAAAAAGAGAACTGTTGAATAGTACCATATTATCCAGAGACTCTTCTAATATGGAAAGGTCATATAAACTTTCAATATGTTACTATGACGAGTTTCACAAAATATATAACAAAGTACGTAACAAAGCCAAAGCCCTCAGAAACTTTTGATATTAATAACCAGAATAGTTATCAAACTCACATTCAAACAAAAAAACTAGGTGTGATGGAATTAATGATCTTACTACTCCAGTACCAAATAACAAGATCGACTGTCTGCGTTCAATATTTATTCTTAGCATCCTCATACTTACGCATTAGATCAGTAAAACCTATTCATCTACAATTGAGAGCCCAGAAAGATGAAGAAGACGACAAAGAAAAGCCCTACTGGGATGATGCAATAGATAAATACTTTGATCGTTCTAATAATAATGAATTCAGAAATATAACATACCCTGAATACTTTTAAAACTACAGTCTTCCTCCTCTATAATCACCTCCTATATAATCACAACTCCCATACAATCACATTGATTTGTGAAACAATTTATTAAAAAAATTTATAAAAAAACTTTTATATAATCACACTCTTTTATAATCACCAATTTTCTTGATACAAACTGCGTGATTATAGAGGAGGAAGACTGTACAATGTAAAACTCACACCTCTATCCCAATTCTCAAGACGAACTTGCACTAGAGAACAAAAAAATCATTACATAATAAAATAAAAAAAACTCCTGCTTGTAAGATTCATAAACTACAAAGTAGAAGATAGTAAGTCTAATATTCTCATCATAATTCAAATCTTAGTCCAAAATGCTATATTAAAACACAGAACCCTGATATATACATAAAAATACTTTGCAACACTCTGGCAATTATATACTTAATAAAAATACTTGTTAACACCCCTGCTACTATATACTTAATAAGCTTTAAACCCACATATTTGCTTAATATATATATATATATTTTTTTTTTTTTTTTTTTTTCACTTTGGCAACCTTGCTGGTGATCCTTTATTAAGATTATTATATAAAACTATTACATAATGTTGAGCTTAATATTTAGGTCCGACATCCCCCGGCTACCTCATGGGTGCCCAGAAGCGGTCTGCCGCACTGGTCTGAAACTTTTCAAGGTCAGAAGGCTAATACCAGGTTAGCCATGCAAGCCATACCAAAAGGGCTTGCAGCTGTTTTGAATTAGATTTCTAAAACTATCATACTATCGATTTTCTATATTTTTTAAACTCTCCTCTTTTTTAAGTTTTCTATCTGTTTTATTTAAAACCCCTTCTTTGGATCTTGATTTGCAAAATTCTAGTTCAATTTTTCTTTCTCCTGCTGGTAGCTTAATTTTCTGTTTTTTGTCTCTGATTAGGATGCCTTTGCTGATTTCCCATTTTCAGAGGAGTTCACATCTACTCTTCCAAATATTTTCGTGAAAGCAATTCCAAATTGTGTCTAAAGCAACTCAATATATGTCGCAGATTAAAATGAAATCTGATCAAAATGAAACTGAGGACCTCTCATACCCACCCTTAGAGTCTATAAAACCCACATATACTCATTTATTAATAAACCTAACCCTAAACCCTA